AAAATTTTATATTGATCTAGCTCAACTTTAACATATAGTAATATTAAGACATCGAGTCCAAAGGGTTTTGTCAAACAGTGTATATTTAATTCTTACCTTTGTCATCAGTAAATGTATCCATACACGCTGTAAACCTAATCATACCCTTATTATCCATAAACTGTGTGCAATTTGTTAACGATTCATCTTCAAAAATAAGTATAATATAGCAGAATAATATAATAATATAATATAATAATAAATATAATATATTCTATCACCATTCTGAAAAATGGCACTATTCTGAAACGTTCAACCTTACAGACAAACTGTAAACTGTAAATTGTCACCTTATAGAATACAACCATGAATTTGACAATTTAATAGTATTAAGTGAAATGGATCATATTACAATTTGCTTGTACAGATACGTAAAACATTTAAAAATGGTGCCTTTTGAAGATATATTATGTAAATACCAGTTATATTCCACATAGCCATCCAGATATTTTTCAAAATATAATCATTTAATTTATTTTGAGTATTTTGATCAACAATTAATAACAGTTTAGCCATGCTGCCAATGTCGGGTGTTAGTCGTCGAACTGGCTTGTTACCTGATATCTGATATAACAGGTATGCACCTAATGGTTTAAGTTAATACAGTTAAGATTATAATTTATTTTATTCTTAGATATAATACTTACCAACAGTTTGTTTTATAATTTTGCTGTCATCAAGCATCATGGTTAATACCATTTTAAAAAGTGCAAATAATTCGTCTGTCTAAAAACATTGTAAAATAACAGAATTTAAATATTTCTTTAATTATATATAAATAAATAAACATACATCATTAATTATCCCAGTATTTTGGCAACGTGATAATAATTCGTCGCGTTCATTCCGAAGTTGTTCATTGTCAACTTGCAATTTGCGGAGTTCCGTACCGAAATTACTCTCACTACCGCCACTAGACATGTTCTGGATAGTTATCAAAAAATTATCGTTCTCAATTTTTAGTTGTTTGACATTTCGCTTTAATAAATCGATCTCATCATTGGCTATACACTTAGCCTCGAGTAGAGCTTCGACGCAGTCGTGATCACGTGTTTTGTCAGAATAGCATACGTCACACGTTTTGGGACGGTTTGCCTCATTGTGCTCACAGATGGCGTTGTGTTGAATAAGATCCTCTAGTTTTACCACATCCCGGCACCCAATATCCCAAAAATCGCACTGAATATTCAAATTACCTATCATATTTACCAGGACCCTATAATAGATTTCATGCACATATTTTAAAACTGTTTAAAAGAAAATAATAATTTTGTACAATTTAAACTAACTAACATAATAAAATATTGAACAATTAACTAAATAATAAATGTAAAATAAACATTTTAATAAATATTAGTCTTACGGAACATTACAAAGTATAACAATGTAAATAATTACCGTGGTGCTCGACTTAACTTATCCAATGTCAACCTTTCCCTATCATAGGGACAGGTGTTGTTGTTTTGCAACCAACCGGTAATACAGTCCTCACAAAATGTCTGCAGACAACACGGGGTAGTCATTGGACAGCAAAATATGTCCCGACATATACTGCACGTGTATTCAGACTTCTCCTTTTCAGACAAATTTGGAAAACGGCTCACATCGTACCCTGGCATTTTTAAAAAATCTAAACTAATAATTAAAACAATTATTAAAAACTAATTAGCACTGCAATCACAATTTTTTAAATTACAAACGAACAGTGAGTTAATTGTTATAAATAGTTAAGTTTTAATTATAAATTATAGTTATTTATATTTTATAAGCACAAATTCAACATACCTAATTTAATAAATAATAATTATTATACTAATATTGTAATAATTAAAGCGTAGTATTCTTTTATTTCGTATTTATTTTATAAGTATAATATTTCAATCGGATAGATAAATAGTTTAGTACAAAGGTAACTCAATGCAATAAATTTAGATAACAAATTAAAGAATTGCAATATAATAAAAACATATTGCTATATGAAATATTGCGATACTAAGAATATTTTATAGCTATTTACTTACTGTTTACTATCTTATTTATTATTACCTATTATCTTTAATTTTATAAAAATGTGACAGAAACATATCACTAAAATATTTTGATTCTCAATAATATTAAAAATTTATGATTACATAATTAAATTAACTAAAATTTATGTAAAACATCTATTTATATATATCAACTAATGTGTTTATAAATGGTTATTTTTAAATTACTTAAATATTTAAATAGAAATTAAATAATATATGCTATAATTTTTTACCATTCAATTTAAAAACTTTTTATTTCATCAAAATTAATTGTATTAATTGTAATAATAACATACAACATATAATCAAGCATACAACATTAAAGAATTTATTATATTAAACAGTACTTGCTGTATTTTCAAAATACAAACAATTTAATAAAAGAGCTTGATCAAAATTGTAAGAAATGACATTAATTTTTGTCACAAAAGCCAATTCCGAAAATGGCAAAAACAAAATTATCGTCTGATCACGTGTACCCTGGTGGACAGTCATCGTAGTTACTAAAACCTAAACCGCACGGCTGGCATTGTGGTCCATTGACTATGTCCGTGAAAAGAATATTCTGTAGTTCTGTATAATACATTCTGTAGTTGTATTAAAAAGCATTGTAACTAGAATACTAGGGATTGAATTTTTCTAAGTAATTACAGTGACCAGAACCTTTTGGGTGCCAAGTAGATAATTTGCCATAAATTGAATGTTACAAGGAGGGCAAGCTTGTTTCAATTTTTAATCACCTTTTATGTCTGGGTTATTGTGTGGGGACAGCAGCGGGTGCTGTGATTGGCCCGCCTGGTGGGCCTGTTATTGGCTCTGATCGGGACTACTGCCGGTCCCGCTCTTAAGTTTCGGTAATTTATTCATTGAGACAACTAATCAGTCAATGACTCGTTTCACTTGAATAATTTACTGGTCAATTTACCGATTAAATAAAATTTTTATGCGGATTTTGTTAATTACCCGGTTGAAAATATTTTTATATTTAAATAAACTAAATTGAATAGTTTTATGCTCTCCCAACACATTTGAATTGATATCTGACCAGATTGTGACCATTTCCCGTTATGCGTCAATACTTCTGTCAGTCATTTCAAACACTGCTTTTATACTTGTGGTCACTGCGGCAAAACGGGTAATGTTATAATGACAAAATCTGATCATGGTGGTTTTGTTTGATGAGTCCTCGTGGTCTGACCACTTATTTAAAAATATATTTGGTCCCCGATTAATTTAGTCACGAAATGTGCTTAAAATAGATAACATCCGAAAAGTATAAGAAAAATTTGTAAATTAGAAGTGATTTTTAAATTATAACATTTTATTTATTATGTAAAAAATAATATTGTAAGATTTATTAATAATTTATTAATTGCACCTGTCAAGAAAAATTTGATCCGGATAATCATGTTTAATCCAATCATTACCGGAATCGCTGCAATCATCATGAACAAATCCAGTCTCCAAAATATACATAGGTTTAAGCTAAACGAGGGGTATTGCTGAACTGGCCCCTATTTCGTGGCCCTTGGCCCACCACTACAGGAAAGCCAACCTAACCAAACTTAACTTAATTACACTAGAAGTTGGTTTGTTTCACAGCAAAACTGGGTTGGCTTCACTGCAATGCCTGTTAAGTATGATAGGTTAGGTTAGGTAGGCTTCCCTGTAATAGTGGGCCAATGAGCTAAGGGCCACGAAATAGGGGCCAGTTTAGCAATACCCAATTTGTAAAACATTTTTAATCTAAAATATTACAATTGAAAATGTTTGTAAAATTTAAAAAACTATAGCCTGTCATAAAATTTAACATTTCTACAATGTGGTCAATCTATAGCATAATCATAATTTTTGGACTGTTTTGTTATTACCCAGTACACTCAACACCGGTTAATCAGACTTATTTTGGCACGTTGATGATTAATCCGGATACAATTAAAGGTGGTAATGTTAATTGAACGGATAATATTTTAATGAGTGCGTCTATGTTCAGTGGCAGTACTTGCATTAGCTTCTTAGAATGTACCGTCTATGTGATTGATCTCGGTGATTATTTTATGTGCAGTGCACTTTACACTATGAGTTACACTACGCTATGAGTTATAGCTGAGTTTCAGGTGTTTCTGAGGGGTCTTCAGCCATACGGATCCAAACGGTAACGTAATTTTCGGCAATTTGCCTGTATTTCTGTCGGTCCTTACGATTGTCCACCGCATCCGATAACTAATACTAATTTATTTAGCACCTTGTTAACAAAATGATAGCCACTAGTATATGGTGTCGCTTACCTGTCTGACAGCTGCCGACACTATTTTAATATAACTGTCCCCTTCCACCTTACGAGCGTCGGTTATAACCCGGGTATATAATGTGTTAGCAGCCTCCCTGTCCTCGTATACGAATTGTGTTTAATTAAATATTTTATATTCTCATTACTTAACGTAAGACGTGAATAACGACTTATAAATACTGTTGAATATTTTTTAATTAAAATTTGTAAAATGAAATTGATTTTTAAATTAAAATAGAAATTATTTAACAATAGAAAATAATAATGGAATAAAAAATATTATCAAAATTTAAGAAACATCAACTTAATGTAATATCGATCCAAATTATTAGATTATATGGTAGTGTACCTTACGACAATATCTCATTTCAAACACTTATTCGATCAATATCATTTTAATATTATATTTTAAACATTTCAACATTCATTTCATAATACAACACTTAAATAAGTATAATAAAATATTTAAAATTTAATCAATAATAAATACAAATATTAATGCATAATTAAATAAACTAATTTATTATTATAATTAAATTTTATAATTACAAAAAAAGGTGCAATCCCATAAAGCATAAGAACATTTTTGTATTAACCCTGTTATAATACATTAACGAATACAATTTTTTAAATATGAATAATTATTGTAATAGCCGGGTGATAATACTACTAATTATAGTCATTTTATTTGGCTATCAGGCTATTGAGCAAACTGTCAATTACTTGGAGTATGACGTGAATTACGACTTGCAATACGACCCAAACTCGCCGTACTTTGTGTACAACTCGTCCATCACTTTCTGTTTCAATAAACACTATTCACGCGAATCCCGAAATCAATCCAATTATGAGTTTTGGCGATCCATTCACTTTTGGTGCACATCCCGGGGCAGCGCCTACCCTATGACACACTGTGAAGACATAGCGCCGGTATACGTGCGGCATCGACGGGACGGCAGTTTTTGTATGACTTACCTAAACGACTACAACCATCAGGAGGCTATCAACCCGTTTTGGATGGCATTCTCGACCTTTTTCTATAATAATAAGGTTGACGTCGGTATACACCCGTTATACGCGCAATCACATTTCCACAAAATGACTTCGATATTCACTACGTCGAGTCAGGACTTTATTATAGACGCCAGTTTGCAGCAACTATTACCCCGACCCTATCGTACCGATTGTTACGATTATGAGCGCAATCGTTGGGGTCCCGGAAATGGTGGACCAAAATCACGAGACGATTGTATGTTACGATTGATGAGAGACTTAGAGCTAAGCCGTTGCGGGCATAACCTCTACTGGAATTCACAGGTCTATAAGTACCCGGTTCAATTAGAAATTAATGAAACAATAAATACTAACTGTATTGTAAAACCCGATTACCACGCACTTTATGCTAGGTGCAAAATTGACTGCAATTACTACTTTACATATACGCGCATATTTGAACGTAGGCTAACTGAGCAACTTAAAGGTTTCCCCATTAAAACGGTATCCTACGACTACGGCCGACAAATAAATATGTATTGGAAATGTAACCCCAAAATGGATTTTACGGTGTATTTGTCATCCCTGGGCGGTCTAATGGGTGTATATTTGGGTTTCAGTTTTTACTCAATTATAAGCGACACCATGGACACATTAAAAAAGTACACTTGGCGTTTTAAACTTCGTTATAATTTAAAGTTGATTACTCATCGTAAACTCAGAATTTGCGTAAAATACGCCAAGCTAGTACCGTTAGCGTTTTGTATTTATTTGATGATGGTACAATTAATCGATATTTATAAGTATTATATGGAGGATAATATTAAAATATCAATTGAATTTCGCAATGTTCAACGAATTCCGGCAGTATCATCGACCTTGCTAAACAGTATAAGAAATGTAACATTAATGTCAGAATATTATCCAGCTCATTATAAACTATATAATTTTGTCCAGCAAGAACCTAACGTTATTAAAAGATTATCCATGATCATTGGTATTGTGTTTCAAATTGCTGCTAATGTATTAACCAAAAATGACCTGGTTCTATATCGTAAAATGATGTTTCACTACAATACTGTATTACTCGATTGCAACTATTTATTAACCAACGGTGCTAGAGTACCATGCCCAATGCCAGATAATATAATCAGGCTTCATCCCACAGAAGTAGTGCACCTACATCAAATCTACCCGAATTATACCGGGCACATTCGTAGAAAACTACAAGATTCATTGACTAATGACATACGACTGGCCCGGTTGGTTATCAAATACCGGTCCACCCCATTAAATATGCTGTCCTTTGCTGTACTATCGACTCAGTCGTTGACCAAGTTTTGGATCGAAACCAATAGCGAAACCAATTTATACTATACGTCCCATTCGTTCCGACGCCAAAAACGGTATTCCCGTGACTGTAAGCACCAGTCGATAGACGACCTGTTTTACGAAAATAATTTCCATAGGATTTCTAACTCGGAGTGCTTTCTACGTAAATTTA